TGAACATCATGTACTTTGAGAGAGTTTGCAAAGAGCTGGAGCAGATAGCTCTCCATGCAAGTCTTCTGGAAACAGGAAGAATCAGCTTGTCAACATTCAAAAATTTGAAGGAAATCAAGGGGGCTATACGCTCCCTTGATTTCCTTCAAATTTTGGAGGAGGCCGAACTCTGTGAGAACTAACCTCCATAGATGTAGATCAGGGAAGCTTCATCTGTTACCATGACAGGAGTACAGCGTCGGAATGGGTAGAAAATGGACCGCCTAGCAATAGGGGGAGGGAGCAGGTACCTCTACTCACTTATCAGAAGTGGTAGTTTGTCGCGAGCTGCCTAGCGAAACCTACAGTGCGTAAGAGCACAAAAAGAAATCAGCAAAAGAAATGGGTTTCTTTCGGCGCTAAATACGACTTTCCTCCTCTGATGGCCAGATACGACCCTCCTGATACGTCTCACACAATGATGCTATGCCCTGATGTGCGAACACATTCCCAAACATCAGTTCCACAACATGATGAACCGCCCAAATCTTCTTCTCCAGTACGGCCCGAACCAGAGCGCATCATCATTGTGGGATTCAGATCGCTGCTATTTTGGTCGCTGCAAGGGACCGTAAAGCCTCAGAAGAATTTTCTAATAGTTCTTGGGAAACGTTCTGCCTAAGGTCCACCCGTTCCGTGAGCTTTTAAGGTGTTCGTGGTCGAGCTGTATTGAAGAAGAATGAGGCCAGGGGGGGGGTGCGTATTCAACGAAAATTACCCACATCACGACGATGTGCCACGTCCCAAGGTCTCATTGCTGGATGCATCCTCTCCTCTACGAAACGGCGACGACACCTGCCGAGGATTCTAAATAGAGCTTCTGAAAGGACAAAAATTACCGAAAGAAATTCTTACTAGTAAAATACGATCGTCCTTTTCTCCAGTGACTGAATACGACCTGTCTTAGTATTCCACAATGACGGTGCACACTACTGAGGAATGGTTGCTGGATAAGCCTCTGGAAGGGTTCGTGACCGGCACAATCATTGTGGAAATCACAAGGGAGGGGCTGTATTCATCCCCAAGAATTTTCTTTCGATTTTGATCCCGTTTAATTTTGCCAAAACGGGGTTTGAGATGGGACCTATATAAAGCCTTACGTTTCGACCTTCCTCGTCGTACGTCTTCAGAGGAACTCAGGTCAACTATCAAAGAGACCGGTCACTACCAAAGAGGCTTGAAGGTGGCTAGCAGCTATGTTTGGGTCTCTAAATAAGACGTCATACCTACTAAAGATTTTTACGATTGGCAATTTTTCCTCCACAGAAGGTATCGGCACTGATCAATGAACCCTTAACCCGACATCCGAGACGCCTTTTTTGGAGCGAGAATTCTGCCAGCCTTCCTTGGCCCCTCATCCACCCAACACCAACCGTCAAACGGCCGGAAGGGGTGGACATGGAACAGAAAAATCGAGAAAAGTCGAAAAGTCAACAACTGAAAACTTCCTCATCAAAGAAAGATACGACGGCTCTCGTTGGGAACCTCGACGTACAACGTGCTCTGCCACCCCCCCCCCCAATACGAACTGGCGCTGTCTGAGGTGATCCAGCCCGAGGCAAAGTTGGGAACTGAGTGAATCGATGACTGTTCTCTACTGTAATTTGTTTTGTCTGTTTGTTTGTTTGTTTGTCTTGCTGCCAGAATGTGAAATCTGGTAAGCCATTAAGTGAACTGATAACCAGTCCCAGTTAGTACAAACACTAACTCGTTCAACATCTTGTAAAAGCGATGAACAGGACAATTGGGAAGCAGCGAAAGTGGTCAGAACGCCCCCTGTTAAGCGTCGCCTATAGTTCGCCCGTCGGAAAGAAACGGTTAGTCACATCGTCGGATGACGTGCCCGCAGTGGCGCGGAAAAAGCTGTCTTTGATTCAACAAGGGCTACTTTTTCAGAACCGCACA